AATGATGAAGCACACAAAGGCAGCCCCCATCACTGGACTCACACGCTCCAGGCCAGAGCTGCAAGAGTTACTTTACCCTGTCTCATGTACGTAAGTCTGAAGCAGTACTTGCAAAACGCATTAAGCTCCTCAGATAAAAGAAGTTATCGACATGAAGACACACTTAACTGAGAAAATCACTGTGTTTATTAATCTTTCAAAGCACCAATGTTATGCTAGCAGGATGCAGATAATATCAATGTTATTATTCCTTTGCCTCAAATAGAACATCAAGCCAGAGAAGCAAACATGAAAGCAGAAGCTGACTTTAAACCAAGACGCATGCCCACAGCAATGCTACTATACGCCCGTGGGTCACCGGTCACCCGCCTGTAGGAGAGAAATCAGAACCATGCCCCTTGCTGTACCTATCACAAGCAATGAGTGTTGGTGCAGGGAGAGGAGATGGCAAAGAATGATGCTGATACTCTCCTTTCTGACTCTTAAAGACAATCATTATTCCTGGAATGACAATTTGTAAGCTCAACCTAATTACAGCCAAATTGATTAAGAGATGCATCATCTAAGGATTAGCATTCAGGCAAATGCTGCTTAACTCAGCCACCAAGGATTCAAGAGGAAACAGCTGTTTTGTTCAGGAAGTTGTTTGGAATAAAAGAGTGATTTTTGCCAGGAAAATCCAGCCTTAGTAAATTATTTAGCAACATCCATTCCTTGTTTAAACTCCCAAGCTAGAAACATCCTTGGATCACCTATTCCAAAGACACGGTTCCTGTGTCTGTGAGGAAGGCAGCAGCATTGTATACATTAGAAACCACCTTGGGCCCCATCCCTTCTTAATAAAGAAGCTGCATGAATGCTCTTAGCCTCAGAAACCTACCCATAAAATGGAATGATAATCAGTACCTTTCAGGGGTTGCTATTAGGACTAGATGGGCAACCATGCATGAGATTTCTAGCACAGAACTTGAGAACTTAGAAGTTTTCAGTCAATGTTTGTTCTTTCCCTCCTTCCTTTGTCTTCTAGGACTCTTTGTAGCTGCAGGGATTTTTAGCCACTAAACTATTTAAGGCAAGTAAATGAATGAAGTCTTTATTCTTTTTAGAAAAGGAAAATTCTTCTTGTGTTATGTTTCATGATGTATAAATATCTTTACCTAAAAGCCTAAGAATGATGGTGAGAAAAACCAAAATCAAGGTGAATAATTGTGTGAGCTCTCCATGTGAGTTAAAAAGTTATTCTTTTATAGTAAGTCAATGAGGGGACAAAGAGGAAGATGAGGGGGACAAAAATGCATCTACTATGTGACATATTAGCACACTACACACATTACCTGCTTTAATTAATACAGCAGCATCTTGGTACATCTATGACACCAAATCTCAGCTCTGCTCCTTACTAGTTGTGTGAGGTTGGGCAAGTCACTTGACTTTTCTGTACCTTAGTTTCAACATCTGTAAAATGAGGAAAATAATAGCACTTACATCATAGAATTTATAGATTTAGATGAGTTAATACATGTAAAACTCTTTGAACAGTACCTGACACAGAGTAAGTATTCAATGTTAGCTGTTGACAACCATCATAGGGAGAATGGGAGTAACAATAATAATATTGAAAGTCCTTAACCTCAAGGGTGGCACAGAGTAGATGCTTAATAACTGCCACCTGTTTATTACTTAGTAATAAAGTAAACTATTTTTAAAAATACACTCTTTCATCAGGTTATTCCATATAGGGGCTCCTCTACATGTAGCAGAAATATATGAACATCCACTCAGACTTCATTTTATAAATAACAGAGTCAGAAGATAACAAGTTTCTTGCCCCCTTTATACTAAATCTCTTTCAGAGCCCCTAGTGCATTGGAAAAGTGCTCTGATATCTAGCCATTAGGCAGAATTCACAAAGACTGCAAGTCCTCAGTTCCCTCCCCACCCTTATTTATTCCCATTTACTCTCATAAAGCACCAAGTCAGTGCCTAGCTGCTTCAGGGTGGGGGTATCGTCTCTTGATTTCTCACGACTCCCATCTTCTCCGTCCCTTTCCTCCCCTCCTAGTTCTTGCCCTCCCTCTCCTTTCCGTGCGCACTGACTCAGCAAAACAAACAACCTGTAACGCTCCCTCACCTTAGCTTCCCTCTGTGCCTAACTGACCTATCCTAGCCCTAGGAGGCACTTAATACATGTCTACTGATTGAATTAAGGATTTTAAACCCCAGCAGAATCTACATACCAAGGAAACAGTATGCTATTCAGACTTGGGATCATCACAAATATTTCCTTAATCTTGCTACTGTGGCTTCAATTAGAGAAGAATACACATCTCTTAAACAATTTTCAATATGTGACAGCAGCAATAGTTCAGGGTACCATGTAAATAGATACAGAAGCAGCAAATCTCATAGCACTGATAATTTGAAAGGAGCAGAATTGCCTAGAATACTTAGAATAATGTTGAAATTGGAGGTTTGATTCCAAGTGGACTTTTACACTAGTCTGTAAGTAACTCATTCACCAAAGTGCTCACACTCCCAGGTGCTGTGAGGAACACATAATGTAAGTTATATCTATTCTTTTCCCTCCAAAGGTTTATAATGTGGTTGTGGGGAAAAAAAGATACATGAGAGAGTTCAAAATATTTCAGTGCTAAACTGGTGGTACCGAGAAAGCACCTCTGTAATTCTGAGAAATGAATGATTAGTCTGAGCAAGAATTAAAAAGTAGATAATAAATAAAATGACTATAACTCAATCAAAAATGTTAGATAAATAAATAAATAAATGCACTAGAAAAAAAAGTAGATAATAAAAAGTTGGAGTTTTCAAAGTACAGAAATACTGTAAAATTCAGTTTAACCAGGTTAATAACTGTTCCCCCAAATTTATAATTTTATACATATTTCATGTAGACTGTAGGATAATTTAGCTATGCTACACTATATCCTATATTCTTATGAATACTATTAAAAAATGCATATTCACATGAGCTACAAAGCTGTAATTCAACATTTCAACACTATGGCTTTTTAAAAAATTATAGAATTTGAGAGCTGATTCTAATTTCTGAACTCAGATAGAGCCAAACTCTTCTATTTCCTTTTCCAGAAAGTTAAGGAATACCTAAAACATTAAAATTATGATTAATTTGTTAGTTCTTTAAATTATTCCCCCAGTGTGTGGATTACCCAGGTTTCTTTATTCCTAATGAAGAGCTGCCTGATTTCCGGTCTTTACATGTAAAGCACTTGGAAGAGCTCCTGGCGTGGAGTAAGTGCTCAACAGCCGTTACTGCTGTTGCTGCTACGCTGTTACTCCCGCCACTATTACCACTGCTGTTATGGCGGCTGCTGCTATTTGTCCCCTGTCTACTAGCGCTTGCCCACCCCCAGGCTGGAAACATAGGTAAAAGGACATGAAACCTACCCTAAGCCAGGAGTTCTCTACTTGAGTCTGAAGATCCTTGAATATGTGAACTTGGACAAAAAATGCTTATAGATCTTCACTGACCTTTAACTGAAAATTAGCATTTCCTTCCATTATAAATGGAGACAACAAACCTTTGTCATCAGTAGAAGTCACAGATCTCTTTGCTTGAAGTATATGTTGTTTTAAGTAGATCAAGAAAATCTAGAGGAGTATTTTACTAGTCTTTTCAGGTAACTATGGGCATTTTTCTCTGACACTCTACCAATTTGACAAGTAATAGTAAGGCTCGTTGAGATGTGGAATCTGAAATGATACCAATAAACTTTTCATTCTCTGCTGCATTAAAATACACTGGTCTACCTTGCACTTTGAGCGGATCTCTTATTCACATATGATTTTATAACATCATTCATTGGTCATCTGCAAAGTGTTGGTTCGCTGAGTTATGCAGATCTCCAAAACATTGACACATTTCATTACACAAAACGGAAAAAAAAATCACATTCATTAATAGCCCTACAATCTCACTGGAAATGTCTTTAGGTTTTGGGAAGCTGACAAGTTCATGGTGCCAGACACAAATCTTCTGAAATTCTAATTTTCACATGAAAGTTCAAGTTTTATCATTGGCAACAAATACTGTCAGTTGTTTTTCCCTAAAGTGACAGGCTCTCTTCATTCATTTTGGAGAAAATGTCTGCCAAATGTTTGAATAAATGTAGTTTGCTTGTCAGTTGTTCTTTCAAGTAAAAATAGTGTTTCATGGAAAAAAAGTGGCTACTCACTCACATACAAGTGTCTTTCCTCGAGACCAGAACCAAGCTCTCATGTGCATCAGAAGTTCTTTATATGTATTTCCCATTTTGTCACATAGACTATTGAATAGATGTGTACTCAAGGGTCTAGATATGATAAAATTAATCATTTTTATTGCTTCTTCAAGGCATTCTTAAGTGAAATTAACATTGTTTTTCCATGGCAATGATAAATACAGTAATACATTAGTGGTAGATTTTGGTGCCACTACTTTGATTCATGTTAAGACACCAACAGTTTTACCCACCATTTGGTAATGGTTTTCACTAGTATTGCAAATGCCAACAGACTTAAAAACAAAAAAAAGCAAATAGTGTCTTAGTATTATTACGAAAATTGTTTTGACTTGCAGACCTCCTGAAATAGTCTCAGGGATCCCAACGAACCATAAACTACCTTTTAAGAACTGCTTACTTACAGCACAGTATGTGCTTTATAAATGTTAACTATTGCTATGACTAATTATAGGGATTTTATTTTTCTAATTAAAACTCTGGATTATAATATGTCACATGATCTGCAGGTGAATAAGTGCAGAAATGGAAACTGTCCCCTTCATATCTTTTTTTCAACTCATTTTTGTTCTTTTTTCATTTTGCCTCATACTGTAGTTAGATGTATACCCAGCATCCAGACACTAAGGCCCCAAGGACAGCAATAAGCCAGTGTTCCACTACCAGCACAGTGCTTTATACACAGCAGGTGCTTAATAAAATACTTGTTAAACAAGTGATGAATGAACAAATAAACAAACACAGATCAGTCCACTCTAGGCTTGTCAGCAACTCTAGTGGAAGAACAGAGGTTGAAGTGATAGTTTATTTTTATTTGTTTGCTTTTAAGGTAGTCATTTCAACCATAGTATTCTTGTTTAAAAAATTAAATTTGTGTAACAATCAATCAGGTTATCTTTTATGGGGAAATAACATTGACTTTTTTTCCTTTCTAAAAAGATAACACTTGATAATTGTAGAAAATATAGACCAAAAAAAGAAAGAAAAGAAATTACTGGGAATTTCACCATCTAGAAATAAACTTTGTTGAGATTTGTATCTGTCTTTCTTCTTTTCTATGCAGATACATAACTTTGCTACCTCCTGTTTTATTACTTCCTTTTTTCATCTAACACTGTATAATGAATGTCCTTCTATATCATTATATATCCTTATCTAATTTAATGTTTAATATGTACATACCATATATTATTTGGATGTGCTTCAGAAATAATTGGTTAAGTGAGGTTTTCTTTGGATTCCCCTTCCATGTTATCCCTGCCCCATATCATCATCAGCCAGAAAAACTACGAATCAGCAGCAACACAGAATGAAGCAGTAAGTAAACTCAAAGGATCCACTGAGCAGTTTTAAACTTTCTATCATTGTCACAAGCACCATGGCAATGGATAACATACCCAGAGCAGAAACAGCCCGGAAAACAAGAAAGAAATAAAAATTGAGAACACCCACAAACAAGATATTTTAAGATTCATCTAGAGAAAAATAAGCCTGGATCATGTAGCCAAGAAGGAAAAATTTCCCTCTTGGGAAGCTGCGCAGGAGAAGTGCTCTATGACAGGATGTGTGGTAAACTGTTCAGACAGTCCATTGAAAAGTCAACTCTGAAGCTGCATGAAATGAATGAGCAGAAATATAAAGACCAAAATAACTAGGAGTTGAAGTATAAAGAACTCTATTACTGCGTTGCTAAAAGGGACATTTAGGTGGAGGTTAAATGCACTCCATTCTAAACTCTGTTTCAGTTCTTTAAAAGATCAATCTCCACTTGAACCTTCTCCTTAACTTCAAAGATAGTATCGTCAGCTGAATATAAAGGAAACATCAAACTAAGAAGAACACTACCAAAGAGAGTCAACAGACAACAGAGTGAGATTGTAAAAATAAGAGGGAAAGGAAGTGGAATTGGGTGTCCCCAAAGGAAAAGATACCCATGTATATAGCTTTTCTCTCCCTCCCTCCCTCTCTCTGTCTTATTCTAATTTATGTAATAAAAAGTCAGAAGTCTGAGAATAGAAAGTACTTTCTGATTTTTAGTAAGTTGAAGAGGTCATTTCTTTACTCAACATGGTTCAGTAGCTTAACTAAGATTCAGAGAGTTTCTGGTTCTATTTTCTTAGCTCTTTCAATAAAATATTGGAAAAATTCTAACTCCCTCAGACCAGCATTCTACATCTTTAATTTACATTTAAGTTATTCTCTCCCACTTCATTATTCCTCCAAGATCATTCATCCAACTACATCTGTCCACTTTATTCAAGCCAATCTCTCTACAAAGCCTTGAACACATCTTGCTAAATTCTGCCTCCAAGTACTTCTACATTTAACTCCTCAGGACGCTTGCCCTTCTTTCTACCATTAGTTCCTTCAACCCAGATCAAAATGAGCCTATTTCCTCCCACCAAATGTTGCCTAAATAAGTCCACTCATTTTAATCATTCATCTATCAGTCATGTTAAAGAACATAGCTTATTCACATTATCAATGACGTATTGCTCTCAAATTGTTTTATGGAGCCCTTCTTTATTCTTTGAAGTCTAAGTTTCTAGAGGGCAAGCAGCATGGCTTCTAATTTTTTTGTTTTAAGAAAATGGAAAACTGAAAGAAGAAACAAAGGAAAGGGGAATAATGAAAAGGGGGAAATGGAGAAGTGACAAGAAAAGAAAGAAGAGAACCAAGATGAAATTGTGAGATTTTATTTTCTAATATACACGATGAAAATAAGGACATGGTGTTGCTTTGTGAAAGTCATATTGACATAAATAAGTCTAATTCTAATGAGCACTCAATTTAAGGCTGCAGTTTGGGTGGTGGTGTGTAACTCCATGGTAGAATGTGTGCTCAGCATGCATGAGGTCCTGGCTTCAATACCCAGTGCCTCCGTTAAAGGGGAAAAAAAGATTGCAATCTGACCCTTCCCATCCCTGTTCCATGCTCCATTTTTTCTAATTCTACCTTTTCTAATTTCTATTTCTAATAAGCAAGTTTAATCTAATGACCACTCTATTAAAATTGCAACCCACCACACCTCCCTTACCCTGCTTCATTTTTTCTTTTTTATCCACTCAAAACATTTAAACATACTAAATCATTTATTTACCTATTCTATATATTTTATTATTGATTCCCCATCCCTACTCAACTCCAGGTAAGCTCCCAGATGGCCGGAATCTTCATCTGTTTTGTTTCCTGTTGTAAACCCAGCCCCCAAAGCAGTATCTGACACAAGTAGGTGCTCAGTAAACTCACTGAATGAAGAAAGCTCTCTGCAAATTGTCATACAGGCTCTGGAATTTTCACAAATACCCACACCAGAGTCACAGTGATCAATGAAAAACTTGCTCCCTCACCAGTGCTGCATACCAGCTTTATCGACCACCTAAAAGATGGTTGATTTAGAGCCCAACTAAACGAAGCACCACAAAAACGGATGTTATAGAGAATCAAGCAGAACTTTACAGAGGATGTGGCCAGCACAGCCTTCACCACAGGCCCCCTGAGGGGTAGGTGTTAACCAAATGAAATGGTGATAGGGGGTGACAGGTGGCCAAGCTGGCTTGGGAGACCTTAACTACTCCCTCCCTACCCAAGTGAAAGCCACAAAGGGCCTATAACAGGGGACTTGCTGTCTCAGGAAATCGCTCCAGTCTCATATTTCTACTCCAGCTGGCTGACACGGTGTAGGCTTCCTGCTTCTAAGCCAGTTGTCCCTGCACTGTCTCTTCTGGTGAAGCATCAGAGGGCTCTTTGATTCACAAGCTAATTGTCTTTAAGTCCCCTTTGGCTCCAGCAGAGTCCTTTACTTGTCTGGGAGAGAAGTTTATATAGCTTTTAAAAGACAAAGCTTGTGGACAGCCACCTTCAGAAAAAGTCTGAAAAACAGGCTTGCCACAATCTCAGTAATTCCTCTCAGGGTACCCAAAGCAGTAGAGGCAGCAAATAGGGGGGTTAACTACTGGTTCTCCCACCTCTTAACCGATTGACCTAGGAAAAAACATGGCTCTCTGAGCCTAAGTTTCAAATTCTTCAAAATAGGCAAATCTCCTCCTCAAGGTTATTGTGCACACAAAACCCTTGTCCCCATCTCTAGAGCTAGACAAATTTAACTGGATCTTAAAAACGTTGGCTCTGAGTCCTGTACACTAGCTCAGTCTCTAAAAGCTAATAAGAGTCATATAATGTCTTGACAAGTTTCAAAGGAAATATCTCCATTACACTTGAAAATAGCTGGGCTTTGAAGTCAGATAGACCTGAAACCACATTGGTGCGGCCACCTTCCAAGCTTTTTCCATGGCCTTGGTTAAGTTACTTTTCCTCATCTGTAAAACAAGTACGTAATAAATACTCACCAACTTGTAAGGATTAAAATAGATAATGTATATAAAGTGCTTGGCATAGTCTGACATAGTCTGACTATTAGCTATTATTATTAATATTAATTGTTAATATTATTAGCTATTATTAATATTAATACCAGATATTGTCTAATATATTCTCTACTGAGACTAGTACTGGAATGAAAGAGATGAGGGTTATTTTTCCTTGAAGGCTAAGTCTGGGTGTTTTTTTCCTCAGTAATACAATACATAGTCGGTGCTCAATTTTTGCCACGTGAGTAAATGAATGAAGGAATGAATGAATGAACAACATAGTAATGGAGAGAGCACTACAAAGGGAGTCAGGAGCCCTAAGTGTCTGGCTTACTTCAACCACTAATTAAATACCTGAGGACTATTAGATCACTTCTAAGTCCTTCTGGACTCCTAAGTCCAAAAAGTCCCTTATGGTTCTGACACTGTTAGATTCTGACAGTATTTGAAAAGGTACAAAATAAACATGAGAAAATACAAGGAAACTATTTATCTCTGAGACCTGCTGCTATGGACTGAATTGTGTTCCCCTAAAATTCATATATTGAAGTTCTAACCCCCAATGTGACTGTATTTGGAGATAGGACTTTTACAAAAGTAATTATGGTTGAATGAGGTCATAAGAGTAGGTCCCTAGTCTAACAGAATCAGTGTTTTTCCTAAAAAGAGACACCAGAGAGCTTATTTTCTCCTCCATCTGAGGACACAGGTAGAAGGGGGCAATCTGCAAGCCAGAAGGAGAGCTCTCACCAGGAACCAAAGTGGTCAATACCTTTATCCTGGACTTCCCAATCCCCAGGACTCTGAGAAAATAAATTTCTGATGTTAAGCCACCCAGTCTATGGTATTTTCCTATGGGCACCTGAGCTAAAATACCTGTATGCCATACCCATTAGAAATATCCAACCTTACACTCAGAGTTCTCTAATCATTTTTAATCTCCACACCGCCCTCCATTCCAAACTCCGATAAATTTTATATCCAGATGCTCCTTAAATGAAATGACTGTATCACAACAGCAAATTGACAATTCTAATAAACTACTCATTGAGTTGAATTTATAAACACTTTAGTACTATGCTTCAGAATGTTAATTATCAGTTTGAAAACCTGATATTCTTTACGCTCTTGTTTACTTGATATTTATTGAGCAAATTTCATGTTTGTTAATAAATTACTCAATGCAAAATTCCCAAGATACTAAAGTAAATTTACTCACCAATTTATCTTAACAAATCGAGTCTGTCATAGCTGAAAGAATGGGAAATTCCCCTTCATCTGATGAAGAAAAGCAATGGCTTTTGACAAACTCTGAGAACAGATAGGGTTGGGCATGATTTCCTGGTGGGGAATAAATTCCTGAATAAACATCTTATCCTGGGAGAAATTTGTACATTCTACTCAGACATTGCTCAGTAATGGTAAGTAATAGCCACATGTGGCTACAGGGCATTGGAAACGTGCCTAGTCCAAACTGAGATGTGCTGCAAGTAAAGTATCTCACTAATAATTTTTATATTCATTATATGCTAAAATAATATTTTGGATATATTAAGATAAGTAATATAGTATTAAATTTATTTTCACCCCTTTGTACTTCTTAAATGTGGCCACTAGAAAATTTATATTTGAATAGATGGATGGCATTTTATTTATAATGTACAGTACTGTTCTAATTAATTCTTTGTCATATCTGAAAGTCTAGTTAGTTGAAGCAAAGTATAAAGCAGGGATTAAATACAACCAACAGATATGTTTTATCTGGTGCACACACCTAAAATAAATTTTAGTTAATTGCCAATATTTAAACATTGACAGATTTCAAATCAAAATGTAGGCTTCTGCCTTCTTTTGAAAAGTGAGAATATTTAGAAACATCAAACCTACTTTTCCATGGCCACAACTGGCTGAAAATAATTGGCAGCTTCCCTCTGACCAAGGCACAAGGCCCCCAGTTCATCCCAGTCCCTAAGTGGCCTATTCTACCTTCTCTGCCTGGTACCTGTAGGTATTTGAATTTTGATGTTTGGCTATAAAGAAAAGTTCAAACATGGAATGGAGTGGAAGAGAAAGCACATACTTTCTCATGTGTTAATACAGATCTTGGTTTGAATTCCAGCTTATCCATTTAAATGACCATACTCAGAAACTCAATTTCCTTACCAATAGAACACAACTAAGAATAACTAAATCATGGAAATCAGTAGCAATTAAATAAAGTAAGATATATTCAGGAGCTGAATTACAAAAGTTGCTTAATAAATTACATTATTACTTCTTTCCTTTGACTGACTCAGTATTTATTTGGGAATGAGGGGTACTTATAATAGAGGTGTAGTTAGACCCTAAGTGGTTTTCCCAGTGTCAGGAATCCACAGAAGCATGGATGCTCTCTCCCTGCATGCAAAGATCTTGGGAAAACGGAGAACTTTCAACATTTTTCTTAGAGCCCACGGATAGTTAAAGTACTTTTATTAATGGAAGTTGAATTTTTATTTTATCAATTAGAAATGATGACCTCAGATGTTTTACAATTATGCAAGCTTTTCAAGTTACACTGAACCCCAATAATGGCAGGTGTTTATTTTGATAGGTGTCATGTTACAGCTTTGTTTTACATATCCAGCAGTTCATGTAAATTGCAGAAGCCAAACTTTTCACACCTATGAATACTATGATTTAGCAAAACCAAGAGTTAAGGATGAAAAATGAAACAAAAGGCATAGAAAAAATGAGAGTAAAGATCAATGAAAAAATTTCCGATATTACAGAAGCTCAGACACAAACCAGAATGATTTGTTCTGTAGACTTGCCCCTCTTGGTATGTAATTTGTATCTCATTTGAGGACCAGCTTGCTCAATAATAGTCGCTGAGTGGACTCATATGCCTGCCCTTCACAGTTTTTACGTCATGATTCATATATTCCCCTAGATCTTTTTGACTGCCTGCAATTACTTGTGACAAATGACTCTTCTGTGTATTATCTGCATTACCTTTTCAAATGTTTCCATGGTGCACAGATAAGTTATCTAGTGTGTACTGTACTATCTCTCCAACAGTAAATCCAGGCATTGAGGGGCTCTCCCAGAATTCTATTGTCTTCTGCAAGTTGGCCACCCAAAATAAGAATCCTTCTAGAACACAAAAATTCCATTTAGATACCACAATTAGCTATAACAATAAACACACAAAC